TTATTATTATTATTATTATTATTACTGTTATCAAGAGATATTTCAACCTGTCATTATATAAAATCATTTAGAAGGGAAGCAACACAAAATACAGCCTCTACACTGGCCATTAATGAACATATTGGAGTCCATTGCAATATGATACAGCACTCTCAGAGTAATGCATATCTGTCTTAAAGCCATAGAAGTGTGCAAGTTTAATGCTTCTGAATGACCCTCATTATACAGCAACTTTCAGAACCATGAATAGTAGACAGAACAGCTGGAGTCTGATTCCAAGAAGAAAAATCACAAGTTATCTGTTCACTGCCACACCAGACTGGATCTGGAGCTCATGAAGCCTCCTCTCCAGTGAATACCATGAAATCTTCCCTTGGAGTAAAACTGGACATAGCATGAAATTAACCATTCACCTTTTCTAATGACAAGGTTAAGAATATAGTGAAATTGAAATTTAATGGACCTTTTAAGGTTTTCCTCAGTTAAAAGTTTAATTTCTATGATTCTAAGTCAATAAACTGAGCATTATATTACCTCCATTTAAGACTGTCCTCACTTTAGTGTTCATATCCATTGCTTCCCAGAGAAACCTTAAACAGAGGTTTCAACATAGGTGGAACTTCATTCTCGGCTGACTATTGATATGGATCATGCTGACCATGTTGTGCTGTGGGTATTATGTGCATCACTGTGATCAACCAACCTGGTGGTCCAATGTCACCCTTCTGACCATCCAGCCCATCACGTCCTGCAAAGCCCTTGTCTCCCTTCAGCCCTGGCAGACCTGGAGGACCAATGAAACCAGATTCTCCTTTCACACCTGGCAAACCATCCAGCCCTGGTAGACCTGGATTTCCAGCTTGCCCCGGTGGACCCTAATGAAAGAAGGAACCTGTTAAACATCTTGCATGGTAGTATTCTCTGTTTAGCATATATATGAATTCACAGACTAGAATAGTGCAAGAAAAACTCTTTAACTCTTAGTCTGAGCTCCCTGTAACATGAATAAAAGTGTTCTGAGGCCCAACAACCTATAAAATTTACTTAGACTATGACTGAAGGATTATCTCCTTTCAACATAATGTAACATTTAATTAATTCAATATACAGAGTGCGGCAGCATAATTTGCTTATTTGAACTTGGTGCCAGGAAGCGAGGTTTGGCCGTTAGAGGGTGTGGATGGTCTCATTCGAACGGGTGGGTCAGGAAGTTTGTTCTTCCTTCCACTTTAGTACCGAGAATGTGTCAGACGAAGGAACAGCACGTGTTTGCCATAGAGGCTTACTTTTCTAACGGTTGCTCGATCGTCGCCACACAGAGAGCATTTTGTGCCCACTTCAGTATTTCCGCCCGAGCTCGTGTTCCTGGTCAGCAATCGATTGTTATGTGGGCAAACACATTCAGGAGAACTGGCAGTGTGGAAAAGAGAAGATCAGAGGAACGGCCCATCAGATAACCCCAAAACATTGAGGCGGTAAGGCAGTCTTTTTTGCGATCTCCTTGGCACTTGGCATGCAAGCATGCAGCTGCCCTTGGAATGTATGATCGTTCTGTGAGGCGAATTCTTCATTATGACCTCCACTTTCATCCTTACAAGTTGGCTGTGGTGCAAGAACTCACTGAACGTGATTTTGCTGCTCGGCAACATGCATGTGAAGCGTTCCTTGAAACTTTGCCTGATGATACACTTGTCTTCTTTAGTGACGAGGCTCATTTCCATCTTTCTGGATGCGTGAACAAGCAAAATATGCGCTACTGGAGTGATAACAATCCCCGAGAACTTCATGAGAGGCCCCTTCATTGTGAACATGTAACTGTTTGGTGCACTGTCGAGAGTAGGGATTATTGGTACCTACTTTTTTGAAGAGAATGAGGTTACAGTTACAGTGAATTCTGTTTGCTATGTGAAAATGATCGAAGAACTTTTTTTGCCAAGTCTTGATGAAATGGATGTTGGAGATGTGTGGTTTCAACAGGATGGAGCCACGGCACACACGGTGCGAATTGCAAAGCGTGTTTTGTGGGAACACTTCCCCAGGCACCTGATTTCTTTGAGGGGCAATCTTCAGTGGCCAGCGCGCTCACCCGATATGGCCCCTTGTGACTATTTCTTATGGGGGTATCTGAAATCCCTCGTGTACACCGATCGTCCAAGGACCCTTGCTCAACTGAAGGAGAATATTCGCCAAGCCATAGCCAACATACCCATCACTATGCTGGAAAAGAGTCGACCGACACTTCAGAATTCAGGCAAATCAGTGTATCAACAATAGGTGGCGCCACTTGTTGGATATAATTTTTAAAACAGAGTAAACGTAAATTTCCAATGTTGTAGAATATGGAGAAAAAATAATTATGATACCTATAACATCTTTTGTTTTACTGACCCTTCAAATCAGCAAATTATGCTGCCGCACCGTAACTTTAAAGATCAAAATTAACTCAGTACCTTTACTATTAGTGGTCTCCAGAAAAAATTCAAAACCACCTGGGAGCTGTGGAACCCACTTTGGGAAACATGTGACCATAAAACCAAATTGAAAGCACTGGATACATAAGATCATGGCAAAAGTCATAAATACCATCTCACTGGCTTGGCTAGTTTACTGCGAGGGAAAGAACGAAAAAAAATTTACTCCAGGAGACTTTGTCTCTTTAACAACTCTGAGTATATGTCATATCTTTAGCAGGTAGCAGGTTGAAGAAAGTCCTGCAAGTTCAATAAGATCTCCAGAATGACGATTTCGGTGCCAATTATTATTTTGAAAATAGAATTCAATAATTTCTAATGATGAGATAAGGATCTATGTCACTATCTGAAGATGTTTTAGCATATTACATTATCATAAAATGATATTTGGTGAAATTTAGAGGATCTTACCGTGTCTCCTTTAAGCCCTGGGAAGCCAGGTACCCCTGCAGCACCTTTCTGTCCTGGTATTCCTGGAATACCTGGTTCTCCTGGAATACCTGATTCTCCTTTTGGCCCTGGAAGTCCTTGTCGACCAATACCTGGTAACCCAGGCTCTCCCTTTGAACCTGGTCTTCCATCTGTACCCCGGAAACCTTCAGGTCCCCTCAACCCTGGTAAACCTGGCTCTCCCTTTTGACCTTTTTCAGAAACAAGACCAGGTTCACCTTTCTTGCCCTGAAAACAAAGTCAAATCAGTAATTGGAAAACAAAATACAAATTTACAAAGCAATAATTCCCATACAGGCTACTAGCTATTTACATGAATGTTACATAAGACCAGAAATAACCTGACTAAGGTTCCAGCACTTTAATTCTGGTCTTAGAATGTCTTTTTTTTCTGCATTCTCTGAATAAGCTCAGAACTTCCTTTTTCATGCGTTGAAATAGTTGAAATGCCTTGTAAATATTTTAATGTCCTCAAATTGATTCCAGATATAACAAATATCTCAGTTCATGAATGTAGTCATGGAAAATGATTGAGAGCTGTTTTTATATACAATATATAAAGCATCTCAGCTAAGAGTTTCTGTAATTTGGCCTCAGTCTACATATGGCCAGTCAGGAACAATCAGATAAGCTAAACATAAACCACCATAAGACTGTTACTATGAAAACAAATGCATAGTTAATTTTCTTGAACAAATGAATGTTTGTTCTTCTGGTCATGTGTGTAACATAGCATGGTAATACATATAACTATTAAACAATGTGTGTTTCATGCTGATAACTTCATTAGATGAAACAAATTTTACGATAAAACATCCCCATAAATTTTGTCTATTCATCTTTACCCAGCAAATACGTGTTTCAAAGTCATAAAGGAAACAGCATGATTTGTGTTAGCTGTCAATAGGAATGTTCGTTGACATCGGAAACTCTCCGCAACATCTGAACAATTTTCTTTTTTTTTTTGCCTCCACATACCTTGTGACCTTTCTATTTGCAAAAGGCCTATTCTCATACTTTTATTTGAAAACATCATCTCATACTTTAGATCTCTTGTATCCGAATGCTAACATTTTTGCTTCAAATACGTTAATCCTGTATCTCACTCCAAAATTACTTCATAAGGATATGCTCAAGTAAGTGGTGAATAAAAAAGTGTTGCAATACTGACGGACAATAAATAATGGACGTTAAGGATATGCTCAAACTTTTACATGAACAAAATGTAATAAAAATTGTGATTATAACAAGATAAATATGCCACAAATGTAGTATTTCTTGCAGCACTGGTATTGCAACTTAGGAGATCACACTTATTAATCTGTAAAATTAACTGACCCACTCACTAACATAATGAGTGGCCTAGTAGAGCACACACCCTCTGCTCAACAGACATTCAGTAACATATGTAATAGTACTAAACTCATACCGGCAATCCTAAAAGACCTGGTTCACCTTTTGGACCAGGAGGTCCATCAGGGCCAGATAATCCTGGTGGTCCTTGTAATCCCAAATCTCCTTTTTGTCCAATGAAACCAGGTGGACCTGGAAGTCCATCAGGACCAGGTCCACCAGGGAAACCATTTATTCCAGTTGCTCCCTTGTCACCTTTCTCACCAGGAAAGCCATCAAGACCAGGAGCACCAGTGATCCCTAGAATGAAGAGCCTTCCTATGTACAGTATATCAATATAATATTTTAACTGTAGCAAGGGTAGCAGAAGTTCAAAATATTTAATATTTAGCAAAGGCATAAATGTAATCAGTTAAAAATTCCTATTTATATCGATATAAAAAAACACTTAAAATATATCTCATTCTAGTTATTTTCATTCAATTAAAAAATTTCTTTTGTTTTCCTCAGATATTACCACGGATTTCCTCTAATACTTTTTCTGGTAAATAATATACAAATTAAATCGAAGTATAAGTCTTTTTTCAATATACATGAAATTGGTGGGGCACACTGTAGCCTAGCTGGTTGAGGCACTATGCTACAAGCCAGTTATGGGTTTGATTTCTGATGAGGTTATTGGATATTTTCATTTTACCTAATCCTTCCAGCCGCACTATGGTCCTAGGATCGACTAAGCCTCTAAGAGATATGAGCAATTTTAACTTAAGATGGTAATACACGGTGCAGGTTCTGGAGACCCTGTAATTCGTAAACCCTGAAGTGTGTTCCCATCCTGGTATCTGAAACACCTGTATCCCTGGGACTAAGATCTTATCTCGAGTGATAGTTGTGGCATCTTTAGGATGGTGGTCGGCTATATCATTAACACCGTATGTTTATGTTCTATAAATATCATTTGGCACAACACAAGTATAGCCACTGTAATGTAACAACCTGCTATCTGAGCTGAACATTATTTGAATGCCTTTGGAAAGGGACAGAGTGGCTTACCCTTGTGGTATGCATTTGTTTATGTAAAAACAGGTCTTGTAAATGAAAGGTAAAGATGTACAGTAATCAGAAAACAAATTAAGAACCATAATTCTGGCTGTAGACAGGATTAAAGAACACTTGATTCCAATACAACATAATAAAAGAAATTCAAGAAAGCTCCACAGTTATTCCAAAGAGTGGATAACTGAGTGCACAGTAATCAACTTTGTTACAAAACATTATTAATAACAGACCAGGCATTCCTCGGGGCCCTGCAAATCCTTTTGCTCCATCAGCTCCAGGTGCACCTTTGTCACCCTTACTTCCTGGGAAACCAGGTAGACCAGGTCGTCCAGGTTCACCAACTATACCAGGTTCCCCTAAAGAGGGTAGATAAGCGATAAGATTCATAAGTTTACAACATAAATTGAACATGTTTGAAAACAAACTCTGAAATGAACTAAACACGCAATGAAAGAAATCATAAATTACACAGCTTCACTACTTATAAAGGACACCTTGTATAGTTGGGGCATGCGGTAGTGTAGTTGGTTGAGGCACTGTATTACAAGCCACAAGGTCGCAGGATCGAATCCTATCGAGGGGGAGTTTTTCAATTGACCTAATCCTTCCAGCCACACTATGGCCCTGGAGTCGACTCAGCCTCTGACAGAAATGAGTACCAGGAATATTCTTGGGGGTTAAAGGGCCGCCAGCGTGCAAGGCTGACAACCTTACCCCTATCTGTGAGCCGACTGTCTAGAAAATGTGGGAGCCTCAACATCTCACAACCATATGGGCCTCCACGGCCTGTTAAGGGGATTCCTTTGCTTTACTTTACCTTGTATAGTTATAGTCAAATCAAGGTTATGATGGGTTGAACATCCCAGAAGATGGCATTCTTTACCGGCATCATATTTTACTGAATCTACAGATTAATGTATGCAAAAAAAACACCAATCTGACATTTCAGTTTGTTGTATACCTTTCTGTCCATCACGGCCAGGCTGTCCTGCAGCTCCAGACAGTCCTGGCGGTCCAATGGGGCCACGATCACCTTTAGACCCTGCCTGTCCAGGAAGGCCATCCAAACCAGGCCTTCCAATTTCACCCTGAGGACCAGGGAATCCAGGTAAGCCTATTCAATTAAAATCTAGTATAAGCATAAGTCTGTATAACAGCACAAAGAACATATACAAGCTATTAGAAATAAAAACAGAAGCTTTAGGTACTCAAATCACATATTAAGCACAGGACTAACATACAGCAATATAACCAAGAAGTCAAAGAAAGGAAAATGCTTAAACAATTTTGAGAAATACCATACTTATTTAATTAGCAAACATAACCTACACATGAATAAAACCTACACTAACACAGCCAAAAATTTGAGTCCTTATATGGACTCTACACCATACAGCATCAGCCCCCATTATGTATAACAGACCCAATGCCATGGCAGGTTCATAATCCACACACCCTCTGACTGGAACACAACATAAGTACAACTACATATAATAATATGGCTCAGATACTAAGTAACATAAAACATAAAAACATACAGCATATAACATATAGATACCAATTCACAAAATACACATCTCTGTGATAAACAAAAGAAAAATAGAACACAAGAAAGAAGATTGCCACAACACACAATACATCAATCTACATCATTAATAAAAGGTTTCAATCATATTCAATGTTAACAGGTTCCAGATTGGTTTCAATAATATTCTTTTCACATATACAGCCCTCGCAAGCTATATAAAAGAGCAGTACAGTATAACAACTTATGAAAATCATCATATATAACTGGTGATGGTCTTGTGTAGCAGAACATGTCATGAATTTATATGAAAGTATGGACTATATGGTGATTCGCGTGTGCATATGAGATCCATGGCATAGGTCAAATCTAAGTGTTTAACACTTCGTGGACTGGACGCCTAGGCCTAGGCGTTTGGGTTTTAAACGTGGCAGAACGGTCACCTAGATTTATGCTTTTAGAACACGATAAGTTTCAACACACTATACATCGCTCTGGCACCACTTACATTGCATGCAACCGCCTGCAAATGCGTGATAAGACTCTGGAATATTTAGTTAGCTGTCAGTAACTTGACCTCGATGTTTACTTAACCGACTATAAAGGAAAATGTTTTGCCTTCTTCAAGCTGTGTGTATCAGCCAGTAGGTAGTGGGGAGAATGGATCAAGGACAAATTCTCCTCCGAAGACCTAGCTGACTTGGCTTGTGTGTGAGACGTGTAGTAATTGTGATTCAGAATNCATCAACTCCCACCCCACACAGCCCTCATGTGGACACCCCTGGGCGACTCTCAGGTGATATGCGGAAATATACCCTCATGAAAATTGTGAAGAGTGAACATTCCAAGAGGGAGCATCCTTCTAGGCAATGCCATGTTTGCGCAGTTCACAAAAAAAAGGAATATGAATGTCTACATTTGCAAGTGTGTAATGCCACTTCACAAAGCGGAGTGTTTCCAGAAATATCACACCCTCAAGCATTTCTAGCAGCATTGGTAAGTATTCTCCAAAAATTTTAGTTCATAAAATTAATTAGGAGATTTTATATTAATTTTTAAAGTGAATAGTGCACAAGTTAGGGTAGTAGGTATAAAAATGCCGGTCCCCAGGGTGATTTAAATATTTAAATCGCCGGTCCGCAAAGCGTTAAAAAAAAGTATAAATTATCCTGTACTTATCTCACTGTTACTGTGATATCCGAATATCTTTGCTAATTAGTGACATAAGTCCTAGTTGTATTATATACCATTAACCTTGCCTGGAGGAAAGGCTTTAGAAAACCAGTAATATTAATTTAAATTTGGGTACTCTTTCTTAACTTTGCTGATACTGTGAATAATTTGTATCGTTCAGTTAACTTTTAGCCCATTATTCAGTCAACTGAACAGGCCTCTGATTAATTATTACCTTGATTTCCTGGAATACCAAATTTTCCAACAGGACCTGGCAGTCCTTTTTCTCCCTTTTCTCCAAATGGTCCAGGAGGTCCAGGAGGCCCAACAGCAGAAATTCCTGGTTCACCTTTCTGACCTATTAAAGGTATTCATTTTTAAATATTATTCAAACTGTTTTCATTTCTTAAAAGACTGTATATTACAAGCATAAGTAAAACCATCCATGCTGTCCATTTGTGGTGCACCAAGACTACTAGCCTGTCATGGAAAGCATTAAAATAAATATGTAGTCTTTGGCTGCTGGACCAAAGAAAAATTCAGATTTTGTGTACGACTTATTTCTAATGTGATCAATTTTATGGTCTTGCTGAATAGCTGTGTAGCTATGTAGCTGGAGAGGTTGAGGTCCATGAATAACTTGTGACATATAATGAAGCTTTCAACACCTGCATGACACAAAGACTGGTTTATGGAACTACTTCACCTTCTTGGTTAGCAGGCAATTTTGCATTTTCCTCAGAAATAGCCATCATATCCAGTTTTGGTTATATTTAGAATAAATCAGTAATGCACTCCTGAATTACCAGGAACTGTGTTTTTCTTATCAGGTGATAAGCCGTGATGGAATTTTCTTGCACCCAGAAACCTAAACCCCAATCTGTTAAACACTAAAAGAGATCAGACAAACAAAATGAAACCAAAGGTCACTATCATCTTTTTGGATATTGATGCTTCTAAGCACTCATATAAAAGTATTAATCACTGCTGCATGAGTCCATTCCTTGGCCTTCTGGAACAAATATTAGAAGAGACAGAGATAGACAGATACAAACCTTTGGCTGCAGCTGTGCCAGGAAGTCCTCTGTTACCATCTCTACCAGGTTCACCTGGGAACCCCATTGGCCCAGTCTCACCTTTTTCACCCCGTGGACCTGGTAACCCTCGTGGCCCAACACGTCCTGGAACACCTGGGGGACCAGGTGGTCCTAATTCACCCTACATCAGCCAACAACAGAGACTGTAAGAGTAACCTGTGACTACACAGAATTTTATATCTCAGCATAAACTGCTCACAAACGTCGGTTAATTCTGTGTAGCTATATATAGCTGAATGGAAGCTACATACAAATTTCAGACTTTATTATGGCCACAGTACATCGTACCTCCTTCTTAAAATTATGCTTCAGACTCTATACAATATTAATGACGAATGTTATACTAGCCACTAGGTGGTGACTGAATCCAAATATATGTCCTAAATCCTGAATATTCTCACACATCACACTGATATGTTAAAATTGATTAAATTCGCCATGAATAAGCTAGCATTATGGTAAAGACACTAGCTAGCATTAAAATATTGTAACGTGGATGGCCAGAGCATTGCTAGGTAACAGACCTGTAAACACAAGCAATATGCACTCACAACAGCGGAACAACAAGATTACGCTACCTGCTTCTAGGCAACAGCTCAGTAAACAGAATTCCGTGCAGTGGCAATGATGTCACCTTGTAACAATACTACCATGTGACGTGCTTTCTATGTTGTCTGTGTGGCACCTATATAACGAATATCTGCTTAAGGTTAAGTCAGAATGTGTGGAGAGTTCAGGAGAGCTCAAGACAACTGAGAGATTAGTGCAGAATCTTACAAGAAAAGGGAATCAAAGAACTGACATGTGTGTTATAATTACAGTAACCTTGAATGTGTTACAATTATTTTAGTTACAACCACTGATGATCCAGTAAATCGATTCACCAATCCAAATCCGCATCTTAGTCACCCAAACATGTGACAATATGAGGAATTCGGTGGAATCTGCAGATTTCACAAATTCAACTTAGATGTCATCAAGCACTAATAAAGGGAAGGTGATGTAAATGTAAAAGCGCCCTTATTAACACTTTGAATGTAAAATATTTTCCTGCATATCAAATCAACCAATATGAATACATTTTTTCATACAGACACTTAGGCATGTTCTATATAACTTGTATGACTTTCATTCAAGTCTGTAAATGGATTCATTGTAACGCTTTGTTTAAATGTAACCTTCTATTCCACTTAACGCAATGACCACCCACTACACATAATTTTATGATGGAAATCTGGCTATCTTGTGAACAGTTATAAATAATGTCTGTTAACAATTTGTATGTGTGAAAATAGTAACGTGGCAGTAATTGTGGTGATAGAGCCAAAATAGGGCCTTGCTATTTTTTTAAAATGATTCTCTTCAAATTCTTTTTTAGCCTATTCTTATGCAAACATGGCAGCCAAAAGATCTGAAATATTATCAGTTACTGCATCAGTAAATGTCACAAACAGTTAATGATGTGCTCTACCAACAGAATTAATCAAATTTTAAATTACCCTGTTGTTTTCCCACCTCAAGAAAGCTATGTCTTTAACTCAGGAAAGACACTGACTGTAACTTACCTGTAAACCCTGCAACCCTCTTTCTCCAGGATATCCATCCCTGCCAGGTGGACCCGGTTCTCCTTTGTCTCCTTGAGCTCCTCGCTCACCCTTCAAACCTTCTGTGAAGTTAGCAGGTGGACAAAAACCAGGTTCTCCTTTTGGACCATAACGTCCAGGTTGGCCTTTGTCTCCTTTCTCTCCTCTCCTCCCAGGAATGCCAGCTTCTCCTTTAATACTAAGCCCTTTTTCACCTTTAGGCCCTGAAAAACCTGGTTCACCAGGAATACCATCTTGTCCTGGGAATCCTCTCTCACCCTAAGGAAATAAAATTATGTAGCAAGTGATAGGACAGTCAGTATAGTGACTGGCTACAGGCTGGAGTTTGAGTCCCGGCAGGGTCAAGAATTTTCTCTTCTACATGTTGTATAGGCCGGCTCTGAGGTCCACCCAACCTCCTATCCAATGGGTACCAGGGGCTCTTTCCCAGGGGTTAAAGTGGCTAGGGCTTGAATCTGACCACTCACCTCCAGCTAGTGTTGAAGTCAAGAAAATGTGGATCTATACATCCACTCCCCCACATGCTCTCATAGTGTAGTGATGAATTAGTTAAGTGCCAAGGAGAACAATACAGTGGAATCCCTGTTTTGGATTTGAGGTCTTGTAATCCTTATTAATGTCTGTAATAGAAGATGCATTTTTGTCTTAAATTAAGGGAAAAAATGAAGTGATGATTGACTAAAACCATAACACAAAATTCTGTTTTAATTTGCTGCATTAAACATTCTACCCTTTTAATAAACACATGTATTAATTACATGGATTTCTTGAACTAAAACTCATAAAGAATTTGTCTGAATAAAATAATAACCAGATGGCTGGATGTGGCATGGGTTATAAAGAGTAAGAAATGCTGTAAGTAAATTTTGGAGCTGGTATAGACATCCTATTGCTTGATCTATGGAGAAGCAAGAGGATGAAGATAAAAAATTGAAAATGTTAAAATAACCAGAAGGTAGAAGTAGAATAAATTCTTGAATCACCATGTATAGATAAATACACCTCAGATAACAATGTCCACAATTTCAGAGGAGTTACTTTATACAGTTGTGTAAACATTTAAAACAATTGCTACTGGAGTTCAAAATGTCAAGACAATAGTACTGTTATATCATAAATTACTGCTTTTAGGTGACTGACGTATTAGAACCAGTGGAATTTCTGGGCTATTCTGTAAATTAAATTATTGCATTCTATAAGAATATCATGCCATGAGTTCCTTATGATTAGTCCATTATTAGGTGGGTCTGTAAACCCCAAGTTTTTCAAACCAGAAAAAAAAATATAGATGTTCCAGGTTCTGAAGAAGTAAACTGGATTGAACTGGCTCAATATGGGGTGGAATGGCAGGATTCTTCTGAGTATTGTAATGAATTTTTGGATTTGCAAAATAAGAATATGTTTTGACTAAATTAACTTAACCTTTACCAACCGGGCCATTTAAATTCCGGTAATGGCCGCGGGCCGGAGTTAATTTAAATGTCCGCCATTGTAGAGTAATAAAAATTGTAATCATGTTACTGAACATGCTGTGAGTTCTACAATTTTTGTGATAAATGAACGAAATAAAAGCTACTTTTATCTAGAAAGAATATAAAATCAGATATTGTAATTTACAGATTTTAGAATCTGTAAAAATTGTTACATTGATTCAAAAAAAAAAATTCCCCAATTTTGAGCGTCTGTTCACAAAAATGCATAAAGCTTCTGCACAAAACGTTCCTGCAGTGTAAATGCATGCTGCTGACAACACTGTCTGACTATGTCTTATCTGGAGGAGGAGAGGAAGTTTATGTTTTCATTGCACATTCTCCGGGCATGTCGGCTTCCTGTATGCACGAGTGTGGGCGGGTTCTTATCCTACTCTGTCCTTATGAAACTCTGCCTGATTATACACGTATGTCGGACTATCCACACAGAGGCACCGTTCTTGGAATATCCCCTCATTCCCCTTGCTTCCACATCCCTTCAGAATAAACTGTAATGCATTCTGAATGGTGTGATTTACGAGCAGCCTCTCAATTTCGGCTTCTTCCATGCGAAATGGGGCCATGGTGCATAGTTGAAATTGTGATGTTTTATAAGCGTTACGAATAGAGGAGACCACTCGCCATCACTGGCCTACTTCCTGCTAATACAAGACTAATGTTGCGTGTGTGCGCTTCACGTGGAAAACAGAGTTACATACGGACAAAGTGCATGAATTGCGACGTCGGACTCTGCATTCAGTTACATGCAACATTCAGTTAGATTATGCAGAAGGGAAGATAGTCTACTTATAAAGCTGGTGTCCAAAAATAATGTAAGTAGAACAAGAATTTCTATCTTAAAATTAGATTTTAAAACACTGTGCGCACGCGTGGACTGCGAGTCACCATACGGTGTCATTCAGCCACTCAGCTTTACTTTAAAGGTCCCCATACGGTGTCTTTCAGCTCATAAAGGTTAAATAAGGTACAAAATGTATAATTTGTAATGGTGTGAAATATACTGAAATGACAGGACAGCATCCAGTTACTGGACTTTATGATGGTGGTGATGAATCTCAGATTCTAACAAGCAAGAAATTTCTTGGGCAGCTGAACAAATATCGACTAATCAAGAAAGATTCTGTACCATGGATTCAGTTCCCACTTCAACTTACAGGTTCTCCCTTTTGGCCTGGAAATCCTTGCAGCCCATCTTTTCCACGCTGTCCTACTGGTCCTTGGGGTCCTGCAATGCCTGGGAGCCCTGGTTCTCCTCTGTCACCCTTCTCACCAGGATTTCCTTTTATTAGACTTTCAGGGACTAAAATAGAGACCCCTTTCTCTCCTGGGGCACCAGGTGGGCCTATTATACCTGGTTGGCCCTGCAAAATAATTTGTCAATATTAGAGGAATATTTGGAAGTACATTCATAAAGGATACTATCGATTTTATCTTCTCCTGAATATACTAGCATGCCTCAACCATGTACTATGATTAGAAGAGTTTTAAAGAGAAGCTGATATTTATGAAACATGAACATTATCATTCTATATTTATCCAACAGGAAGTTTTTGGAGAAATGAAATATTAGAACTGAATATTACTGTTAATGGTACATGAGAAAACTTGTGTAGTCAGTCTGTTTTTAACAAATGGTGGAATCAGTTCTAAGAACAAATTAAAATGCCAAACGTTGTTTGATAATTGCATGATACTTTGTTATGCCAAAACCTTTAACAACTATTAATTTTCAATTACACTCCATCAGATCCTGTTGATTTTGTGGATTTTAATATTGGTGGATTCAGTATAGCATTTATCAGAATATGACATCCCACATGCTGGAAAGTCGAACAAAGGACAAATAACCATATAGATATTATGTTCTTTCAATTTATTTGAGCCAAAATACAATATTATGGGTTCTCAAAATCAGTATAGCATGTATAGTGGATATTTAAATGAAATGACCTATTAGATCAGGATATAGTTACTTTAAATGGCACAACAAAGGATTAATATAAATACAAGAATTAAAGGGTAGTAGTACATCAGAGTGAGCCATAATTAAAGCAATATAATGCTACAGTATTCAGAGCTGATTCACTTAGCATTAGGAGTAAATAAACAAAAATAAAATTCTATGGCACATATCAATTGTAAAACTGTATTTTTTAGCCTACTTTCCTTTCCTAAGATAAAGTGTTAGCATTTAAGATTAGTATAAGATTAAACTATTTCCACATCCTAGGTTTGTTACCTGTGTGGATATATGGAAAATAAAGGAACTGAATGAATAAGTAAGTTCTTTATGAGTTGCCTCCCTTCGAAATCATGAACCAACTGACCAATACTGGTGAAATTTGGTAGAAATGGTTAACCATTGGAGGTCAGCCCCACCTTAAAAACTTTCAATTCCTATAACAGTAACAATATTACAGACATATAAACTTGTAAAGTGACAAGTGATGTCAGTACCACTTAATGCTGGATCCTGAATTATGAACTGTAATAGATCTTAAAAAAAATTATGAAACTTCATCAAGGTAGTTTATTTAGCAATTTTATAATGCAAAAGTATATGGGTTTCAGTTTGATAGTGATAACTACTGGATCAGATGAGCTAGGAATAAGAAATTCTGTATGACCACAAATTATAAACACTGTATCAGTTAGAAGTTTTGAGGTTATGTCAGAAAAATTTATCACAGGCAAAATATGGACAGTAGGAAAGACTGTATGAAATATGTTTGGAGCCCCTTATTTTACTGGTACACAAAGTAAAGGTAGAGATATTCATGTGCTTAATCAAGCAACCACTATTCCATAGAGACAGGGAAGTGAAGGTATAATATTAACACAAAAAATGAATCATGATTTCTCTACTCAAATTTCCTGAGAAAATTTAGTGGAATACATTATATAAAAATATAAAAGCAAGAGACTGTGGAATGATATATAATTTGGAAGCACACAGTACATGTTGAGGTTATATTAGCTTTGAGAAACTAGTTTCAATGTTGTTCAAATGTGCTACTTTGATCCTTAAAGAATTACTATAAATTATTTGTATGTAATATTTATATTAGCAATGGCAGTTTCTGCTCAAGACCACAGCTGAAACTTTTATTAATATCTGCAGCAGATGACTTTTTTTATAACCAATATGATTCAGACATACAATTTTATGTCAGGCTATACGGTAAACAGGGAAACATACTCACAGGGCGGCCAGGGGGTCCAAAGGGACCTGGATTTCCATCTTGCCCAACCTCTCCTGGGTATCCTCTCTCTCCAGGAGGACCACGTGGACCTTGTTGACCTGGAATACCATCAAGTCCTCTATCCCCTTTCTCTCCCCGAGGTCCTGGAAGACAATCTTGACAACGGCCTCCAATTTCACCTTTGTCACCAGGTGGACCTACAGAATAAAATAAAACAAGCAAAATGTTCAATATTTAGCTTTTTTAATTTGTACTGACACAATCAAAATAATAAAATACAGGTCTTCAAACACTTATTATGTGATATTTACAGGTATGCCTTGATATGCAAAGGTAATTCATTCCATGAAAACGGCATACATGGTCAAACTCTGTAAATGAGAAATTAAATTTTCATGTACTTTATATGTAAAAGTCGCCAAACTTATGAATGTACTTGTAGCAACAGTGAAGTTCATTAGGTAAAAATTATTATAAATAAACATGCGTCATTGTAGCTAAAATTCATAAACCAAGTGTTCATAAAACTAGGGATACCTTTACTTCAAAAAACAAAACAGTCACTGAATGTAATGGATGGATGAGTTTTGGCTCCAACTGGCATAAAGATAAACATACAAGTGGATATGTAACTACAGTACAGAACAGCGGCTAGCTCAAGATAATCTGTAATGGCAAATATAATTATAAGATTATTCTGATCTGTCCTTTTTAAATCTATGTAATGTAGTATCTTCCCCTACTTTCATAAGGAAAAATATTTACAAAGAATTATGGAAAAGTTCTGTTGCAGAGATAAAATAGATCTGTAACAAATTGGTACTTGGAAATTATCAATTATATTTTCAGGAGCTAAGATACATTAGGATAAATGTAACAAGAAGAAAAAAGCCAGTTACATTTTTGTTAAGATTACAAACAATGGCAAAACAGTGCTTTGATTGGTAACAGGAGGATGCAACTGAATAAACTGCACACACTGACTGCGTTATTTTGTGCAGATCTGACACATCAGCTAAGGAGGAGTATTGTTACATAAGTATACAGGACAACAGTAGCATCTGATTTAATTCCAGTGGTGTTACAATGCTAAGTGTATTCTTCTGCTTGTAGACAGATATTTAATAAAGGTTCTCTTCTTAGACTTAATTATTTCAAATTGTTTTTTATAATTTCTTTGTTGTGTTGTAAACTATTTCTTATGCATAAAATTTGTAACTCTGCATCATTGTTCATTCTTTTCTTTGGTTTCAAAGATTGGAGGTAACACACTTTTTAACTCATGAAATATATTTCAACTGTGATTTCATAATTTCTGACTTTCCAGACTTCATTGACAAATGATGTCAGCCTGTAAACTCAGATTCTTCTATATAGACTTTCCTATCAGTGTTATATTCAACTCAGCAATCATTCCATTCATATTTAAAGATTCTTATAATATGATTTAAATAATGCTATACTATAATAGAAGTTCTTATGTCAATGGATTATAACTACATAATTACCAGAAAATGGTCAATACCTGGATATCCAGGTGTGCCTGGTCTTCCATCCCTGCCCTTTTCTCCAGGAAGCCCTATTAATCCTGGAGGACCAGAAATTCCTTGCTGAGAATCTCCTGGAATTCCTCGAGGTCCAGGATACCCTCTTTCTCCTTTCTGACCTTTTGCACCATCACGACCAGGAGCACCATCCATGCCTTTTGGTCCCTTAAAAAATATGGAAACATTTATTTTTAATTGCAGGCACATATGCACAAGGCGAAATCTCACAAAATGTTATTCAACAGGAAAAACAGGATGCAAAAAAAAAATCACATACTTTACGAGATACAATTAACAATGACTATATTGCCTTGGAAATGAAACTGAATGGCTAGCTGCTAAATAATAAACAACAATAAAATTAATCTAACTGGAAAAGTCTGGTTCAAGAAAACTGACATGTTGAATTTCGGCAAATAGTAGATACGTCCTAAACAGATTTATTTTGGGATATGGTCTCTGTACATTGCTAAAATTTAATATAAATATTCTGTCCCCAATAACAGATTATTATGTGTATATAAGCCTCATCTGTATTATTTTCACATGGTATAATAATTTTCATATACTGCATATAATATTATAGGGCTGTATTATGTCAAAAAAATTCACATTAGGTATCCCTAATTTCAAGCATGAGCAGCTCAAGGACTTAACAAAGCAGCATCAAAGCAAATTTTTCAAGAATTTTTCATTTGCCTGTAAATATCTTCTGTCTTCCCTTACTGGCCACTATGAAAAGAGACGCTACCAAACCTGAACCATTGATACTGCATAATTAAATTACTATACAGTCTCTAAGTATACCAAAATTGGATCATTGTCAGATTTTTGTGGTACAGGTTTGCAAAATACTCACAACAATGGATAAACCCTTCTCGCCTGGAAACCCACGTGGCCCTGGGGAACCTAGTGGCCCAGGAAAGCCCCTGGGACCAGTATCTCCAGGGAAACCTAAAATATTGTAAGAAAATTAAACACTTGGATATGGTGACTAGCCAATCATTTTAATGTGATGAAGATAAATGACATGATTTGCAAGTTACTAATATACCTTTCTCATCTAATTCTACAAACGGCTAATGTGGAAAGCATCAACATAGAGAAGATTTTATACTTGATTTATAATTACCTGGTAGACCTGGCTCCCCTTTACTACCCTTATCACCAGGCAAGCCTTCGGGCCCAGGTGTTCCTTGCAACCCTGGACCTCCTGGACTTCCAGGAGGTCCTCGAGGTCCTGGTTCTCCTGGATATCCATCTAAACCTTTGGGTCCTGTAGGTCCAGGAAATCCTCTTGGGCCTGGTGGCCCTGGAAGTCCAGGTCTTCCTTTGCCACCCTAATGCAAGAAGTCATTGAAAATAATACCCCTATTTGTCCATTAGATCAAATGAGAACAAATTTAACTTTGTATATAATGGCAATATTAGTAGTATGTAACAGACACATGAGGCCAGTTCAGACTATATAACAGACACACAAGGCAACACTAATGTAATGGTGATTAAAGTCTGAATATTGGTTATTTCGGTTTTTGGGCTTTCACTTAATAATGACACATCTATACCATGATATAATATTCCTGGATGTTAGGAAAAAAATAGAGGAAAAGTGTGCTCTAATGGGGGTATACATATTCTTGAACATTCATTTACTGCAAATGCAAACCTATTGGTGCAAAGCCACCACAATGGAGTCTTGAACTATTTTTCCTTGTATTTGACTAAATATTCACAATACCACAGAACGTTTCAAAGGAAAGTTGTGCATGTTATGGAGTTCTATATTTATGTATTGCACAAATTTTTTGTATAGTTTGCTTTTAAGGAACTCACTACAGTTCAACTTTATCTTAAGCTAAAGCAGGGCTTATATAGGACAAATATGAACAAAAATCAAAGCTTCCAAACAACTTTCAATGAACACCTCCTATCAAATTTCATCAAATTTGTTCAGTTGTTTCATGAATGAAATATTCAGACAAACACGATACTTTCCCATTATGCACCCATTTATATGTTTTAGGCAAGGAACATATACATTTATCAAAATAAAAGTTGGGGCATCTGGATGCAAAAATAATTCTGAATTCAAAGAATTCAAATTGTAATCTTAAATCTGCAGAATGTAGTTTCAAATTGACTACCCAACACTAATGACTGATTATTTCTGGATATCTCCTTCTGTAGCAAGTTCTATGTTACCTCTTACATAAACATTCAGGCCTGTTTCTCCAGATTTCTTCACAGACGTCTTGGCCTAAGCTGTAATTCCATCTCCCTACAAAGTTAATCCTTCTACAAGAATGCTGATGAAGACTATGACTTCTACATGATTACTATAGCTTTACTACCTTTTCTATAAATATGTGCAGTAACAAATAAAATCCTGTGTAGTTCAGTGAAAGTGAACTAACATTTCAGAGGCAACACATGTTCCTCTGAAACGCTAGTTAACATTCACTGACTACACAGTGTTACACCTCAGAAAATAAACTCTTCATAATCACCACTGTGAGAATCTTTAATCCTACAGGTGCAAACAGATTTTCTCCACTGCTGTGGAATTTCTTCCTTATTGATTAATAAGCTTGTGGGTCTTTTAATGTTTTTTCTCATGACTGGATCAATTGTTTGAATTTAATGAATACCTAAAAATTTACACCTTTTCAACTTCTTAACAGGAATTGGGAATGAGGATTCAAACCACGTTCAAATATTCTAGCACAATACTTGCGTGTGGCTTTAACAGCCTTGGCTACCGTACATACTGGCAAGAGTAAAGAGTAAATTTTAACATCTTTGGGCGTTCTCTATTAGGTCTGCTGCAAGAAATAGGAAACAGAAAAACTACATTTTTATATGTATTAATTTTGCAGGTTAATTCTAGGTTGTTAATCCTTCTCCAGTTTATTTATGCATATAATCTGGTCCTTAATAATTTGTTCTGTTTCCTCTGAGTTCATTAATTTAGCCATAACGTATTCCCTCTTCTTGTTTCTAAATTTCTACCTGTGTCACACTTTGCTTTGTTCACATTCATCTCCATTTACTGGCCTCATATTCCAGAGGGGTGGGGGAAGTGTGTGGATACCCTTTCACCACAGTATGGTATATGTTCACGTTACAGTAAGCTGATATATGGCATCCTGACATGGGATGGGGGGATGGTGCTGCAAATATCTTCAGTAAACGGTTGTAGATTTCTGTGAAAAACCTTCAAGTTCCATAACAACAGTAAATACACTGATTATATGAGAATAACCATCATCTATAAGAACAATTTCATACCACTCAGTAAGCCGATATAAATTTTTATTGAACATAATTATTTCAAAACTCAGAAAGTTTGTTCTACTTTAGAAATCTACTTTTTGTCAGTAGGACATGAAGTACATACTCCTGGAGGCCCAGGTGGCCCACGTAATCCAGGTGGTCCAGCTGGACCATCAAGTCCTGGCTCTCCTTTCAGTCCAGGCCTTCCAGATAACCCATCAAGTCCATCATAGCCTCGATCACCCTTCTGCCCTATAGGTCCAGGAGGTCCTGGGAAACCATCACGACCCTAGGCAAGAAAAGGAAAGCCTGGGTGAATTGAAATAGCATACAGAAATCAGTGAACTCAAAACACTGTGTGTCCTCGTTGATGAAGTATCAATATGATAGTAATATTAAGATTTGGATATATGGTATAAATATAAGAGTAAAAGACTTTTTCTTTTGTAGGGATGCATCCTGCTTGTGTCTTCATGAGATATATTTGTGTATTTTACTAACCATCTCACAAGTGTGTAATAAAACTTATTTATTATTCCTTTCTCACTATATGTTTCATCCCCATGAAGTCATCATCATGTGAAACACAGACAGACTACTGCTAAGACATAAACAGACTGGATTTTTTGTTAAAATTTAATGCTATATAAAAGTGTAAAATACATAAAATATATTTTGACTGGGCAGATCTGATCCAGTTACTACATAAAGCCTGAGTATAATAGAAAGTTGTGTTATATAAGTTGAAAGAAATATGATATAAATATTTGTCTAGTCACTTTCATATCTAAGTTCATGTTCTGAAATCATGTTAAGTGACTCTTTGGTATTTGTGGAATCGAGTCTATAACTGAAGTACACATTTCTAAAGGTTGATGGTCTAAGTAGAGTGAAGTACATGTGCTTAGATGTTGACCGATGTGGTGGAATGTGTCCAGAGGCTTGGGTTGGTGCATGTGCTGGTAGATTTTGAAGTATAGCATGAGCCTGTATTGATGTATTGGAAAATGCTTGTGAATGAGTGTGAGACATACATATCTCAGGAAGCAAAAGGCCCTTCTTGTGTAAGTAAAATTACTCTGCTTAAGCAATACTGTAATTCTCAGAAAGTACTACATTCATGATAGTGAGATAAAATGCACAGCTTGTGTGACAATGACATAATTGTCACTCAAACTTTATTAAATTGTATGGAAGTTCTGTATTCTGACTTATACCAGGGGACAGGCTCCATGTTTGCTTGTACTGGGATGGTTATATACAGATGTTCAAAGGCCAAACAAAATTTATAACATGGAATTCATATTATCAGGAGGAAGTTGGATGCTCCTAGCAAGAAGTAGTAAACTTCATGGCCTTCAGTCATTAATCTTTTTTCTTCAGAGAAAGGAAGAGAAAAAATGGAATGGTTTATAACATAGTATAACTTTCACAATATATTAAAAAGAGACAAATTATACATGGACATATACCAGCATCATTATAGTTGTGTCTATGCACAGATCAATTGTCATTCACAATAAAGCACATCTAGTGGACAGATAATTACTTATTCATAACTTACATAATTTGCTGTGTTAATGTCCTGCTGGACCATCGGTTGTAATGCTTGAAATAAATGTGACAAAACAAGACTATCATTTAAGAAATGTACTCAACAGTAATGGACAGGAAATTATAACTCTAACAGCCACCAAATAACAAATCAATTTGGGAATAACTTGAGAAACAAAAATTCATACGTTTGTGTGCAGTTTTATAAGGCTTCATGAAAATGAATTTACATATATGTTGCCAAACATTAAAGCAAGAACCTACTGTGATGGCTGAAACACCTTAAAAATTTATCATTTACTAGAGGGGGGGTTTTGACGCATAATTTGCTGGTCATTATGTTCATAATTTGCATATATTTTGCATAAAATTCCATGCTCTTGCAGCAAATTCCTGAAGTGTAAAGTACCTCCTTATGAATTCAGATCTTATGTTAGGCATGAAGTTTTTATTTAGGGACAAAAATGAAATTCAAATCACTCTATGATAAATGTTATGAACTTCATTACATTCTGCAGTCATCTAACATTAAAAAATGGCAAGTTTTAAGTCAGTGTATACATGCCAGCTAATATTATCATACTACGTAAATGCCAGGCTTGTCATTCATTTGTAATGATAAAGGTCCAAAATTATAGATATTTTGAATGTGATGGCACAAATCTATTAACATATTCCACAGACAGGAAAGGTAAAAGAGAACTCCTATGTCACAACATGAAAGAAGACACTGAGATTGAGCCCTCAGATCTTGATAGTAAAACATGAAAGGAATAACATAAGATATAGATCGCTGGAAAGAATCCAACCAGATAAGTGGTAGGGTTTGAAAATATGGTAGTCAACTGAAAAAACTGTTGTTTCCCTATCTGGAATTAATCCCTTCAGAAGCTAGGGCATATTTTATTTGAAACTATTAAGATACAACAGTTACTACAATTGATATGTAATTTTCTGATATAAAACATTTATATTTCCTGTCACAACTAGCATATTTCTTTCACTACTAGGCAAAATTGTACAAAACAGTTTAAAATGGCGGGCATATGTGGCACAGAAGAATGATCGAATTACCTTATTTCATCAATGATTTCTACACACTTTTTGTACAAAATTCTGTGGTCAAAATTTTGGGTGTGAAATCTTTGTGATGATTTGTGAGAATCATCTGTCATGGAAAATACCACTTTCTTACCCTATCCATAAAATTGAAACACTTTCTCTGGAAACTGGACCCTCTTCTAGGTTAATTGGCAACAAAAAAATAGCAGTTTTCTAATTCAAACACTTCACATATTCAACAAACTTCACCATATTCCAAGAAATGTTTTAATTTAACACTGTATGAACAGTAGTCCTTCAACGAAGTATAAAACATCAATAAACTGATCCAGAGATAAATTCTTTAATCTCAATCTCAATCCCATGTCACGCCAGTTACAATTTTTTTCAGGTAGCGCAGTTAACCATCTGTCATATTTATATGACTGCAAGGTCACATGATTTACTAACATAAAATGATTCTCAGTGCAGTATGTCAAACACAATACCCTCCCACTTACTCCTCATACTCAGATCTTTCAGCCCTGGGTAACATTTTCTGTTGATGTCCCCCCCCCCACACTGAAGAATGGAACATGTAAAATATCAGTGAATTTACTTATTTCTTAACTTCATGATACAGAATGAGAGTACATGAATTATGTGATAAAATACAATGTGTATTGTATCTACCCAAGCAATTTATACACATTTTTACCCAAAAAACAATGTGTGAAAGTTGTAGTGCATAAAATATGTAAATACTGCTTTTTAGATAATATTTTTATATTACAGGTTGGGCTAATGTGACTTCAGTTGGGTGCATTGACAACACAGTATGGATATTCACACCTCTGAGTTCTACCACAACATTCCAAGATGAACATTTAGACAATAATGGCCTTTCATAAAATTTCAACTGAAGCACAATTTTTGCAGAAAATGCAACTAAGCTAAATGCTACATGGCAACACAGAATGGATATTCATGCCTATGTATTCCAACATGCATTTCTTTGGTGAAAACTGAGACAAGAATAACCCTTGATGAAATTTTGACTGTCACAAAATTTTCATGGAAGATGCAATTGAAGATGAAAGAGATGTGGCAATGTGAAAGGGATATCTGTACCTAGACTCAACCATGAAATCTGTCAATTAACAGTGATACGAAATGTACCTTATAATACTCTGATCAGTGCATATTCACAGAAAAGAATTAAAATTCTCCATACCATGATCCCACAGTGCATTTAACTTCAATTTTTTTTTTAGAAATCTACATATCACTAAATATTTTATCAAGGGTAAAAATATAATATTTGATTCCTTCCTTAAATTTCTTGCCCAAAAGTAGTGATACATAAATTATGAGTAGGTATACAAGGAAATATTGAGATTTTATTTACTGTTAAGCTGATCAGTCTTGGCACAGCTTTGGAGCTAATTGAAAGGCATACTCAAAGGAAGGTAACATGATATCTTTCCACACTTACTCGACTCCCAGGAGAACCAGGCAACCCTTTCTCTCCTTTCATTCCAAAGTCTCCAGGAAGCCCTGGATCTCCAGTCATACCAGGTTCTCCCTTTTGTCCATAAGGTCCGGTCTCTCCCTGTTGGGACAAAAATCATATGCATGTAAAATATATATGAGTTATTATTTACTAAGAATGCTCTATGTGGTTAATCTTTAGTTGTTATGTGAAGCTACAAAGCCACTTTCAAAACATCAGGAATCATAAAAACATGTTAAATTGTTTAATGTATCTGGTTTATGAACTGATCAGTCATCTACTAAGTTCATGATTAATGACCTCACTTTTGGATCAAATGGATACATTTAATAACAAAGCATAACGTTTTTAATATGCTGAACCTACAAAAGTTTCTGTCCTAATGACAAAATAATAGTTTATGTCATAAGGTTGAATTTTAATATGACACTTGCTGAATACTGATCCACTTACAAAGGCAGAAACATGTGATTAGAGTTNCTGATGCAAAGAAGTACGAAACTGGCTGCCGCAAGAACACGTAGGCGGGGAATAACATTTGTTCCACGCGATGAAAGATGTTCTTTAAGGTGAGAAATACTAAACACTGTAGCATAGTTTATTGAGGCACTATGCTACAAGCCGGAAGGTCACGGGTTCAAGTCCTGATGAGGTCATTGGATTGTTTTCAATTGACCTAATCCTTCCAGCCGCACTATGGCCCTGGGGTTTACTCAGCCTTTAACAGAAATGAGTACCAGGAATTAATTAAATAATTTTCCTGGGGAGTAAAGTGCAGCCGGCGCATAAGGCTGACAACCTTACCGCCATGTGTGAGCCAATTGTCTAGATAATGTGGGATCCTCAACATCTCACACCCCTATGTGTCTTCATGGTCTGTTACAGGGATAGCTTTACTTTTACTTATTTATTATGTTTGAGATGACACTAGTATTCTTTGCATAGCTAAAGACTAGTATAATTTAAAAATAAAATTGGATGTTGTTTTTAATCATATGTTTATGTGGTTTCAAAATAATAAATTTGTGTTAAATCTGGATAAAACAAAAATGATAAAATTCACCCCAACAGCAGCTATGAGCTACCCTCTACATATATTGTTTTTTAACAAAATGCTGAAAGAAGTTGAAACGATAAAATTTCTCAGTTTACAGGTAAATAACCATCTTACTAGTAAGGGATATATAGATTCTTTGCTCCATAAGTTGAGCACAGTTTGTTTTATAATGCGAAAATTATCTTATATATTAAATACTAACAGTCTTAAAGGTGTATATTATGCGTATTATCATTCATTGGTGAAATATGGAATAATATACTGGGGAAATACATCAGACTTAGACTTAATTAATAATAATGTTCTTGTTATGTCTTTTAATTTATCTGTAGAGAACGTTTGATCATTGCAAATATAGAGAGATTTTTTTCTAGCACCTCAGTAAATCCTTGGAACAGTGTCCACAAAATAAGCTTCTGCAATTTTGGACCAGCACTCTTATCCCCACATTGGCTCAGTTCCCCCATGCAACATGTTTTCACTCAGACAAGTTTATTTCCTGTGTCAGAATGTCATGTGTAAGACAAACATTTGAAAGTGTTACTGCACAACAAATATTTGAAAAATCGTTCTGTAATGTACGTAAAGAGAAAGTTTTGGCATAAATTTAAATATGTCACTTCCGCACAGAGCAACAATTCATAGAACTGTAAATCAATTAGGACAGAACAGATGGATTACTGGCCAATACAACTGAATCAAAATGACAAATAATCACTGAAGAAAAATTGGATGAAATCAGTGGTAGGCTTGAAAATTATCCTTGGAAATCCTTCAGATGTCTTTACTTGACAGCTATTTACCTATACAGAGTTGTTCTCGTGATGCTCTCTCACCTGTAAACAATTTAATATAACCCTCTCTTGCCTGAGATAAAACAACAGCCTACTCCTGCTCTGGATGAACGTGAACTGCCAGCCTCATGATCGTTCTAATGTAAGACTGCCCTCTGTGCTAATTTTATGAGACTCCAGGTGAGCTGTAGGTGGTTCAGATGTGCTTACAAAGAGGGAACCCTCCAATCTTTATCCTGGAGTTAAAACTATGGTCAGCCACATTGCAGTCTGAGCTATTATGCTCCCAGACTGGGGAAGGCATGTGAAAAAAAATATAAATCACTGGGTTGAGAAAAAGTCATCAATTAACAAGATAAATGCAATTTATTACATACTTACTCTTTCACCTTTATCTCCCTTATCTCCTATAGGTCCAATAGTGAGGCCCTTTGGCCCTGTATATGGGAGACTTGCAGGACTTCCTACTGGTCCTCTGTCACCTTTCTCTCCTTTATGGCCCTTTTGTCCTTCATAACCAACACCCATATTGCCTTTTTCTCCTTTACTGCCAGGAGGTCCCGTCGGCCCCTGCAATGTCAGAAAGTACATGTTAAAAATAACATAAAGCATGTGCTGAAAAGTAACAGGGCTAAACTCTATGTCTCCAAAGTCAAACAAAATATTACTTCTCTCTACATTGTAACCTGTTACTACATATTTCATGCATGTTCAGGTCAGAAGGCATCCATTATATCTGTGCCAATTTTTTGTATGAGTTATTGACACAAGTGCATAACGGAACATGTTATGGAGCAGTAATATTTGTATATCTGTCAATCTGCATCTTTGATCTCCAAAGTTACTCAACATAATTTGGTAAAGGTATCATGCAAATTTAATTTGTTTGAGATACCCATGGTAATGACTATGAAAAGTACAATCTTGTGGGCTGTAATGCAATGTAATGCAGACAGAGGGTTCTCTTCAAACTATGCAGTGTTACAACTCACAAGACTGTACTCTTAAATTTATAGTAGTTCACACTTAATGCAAAGTTTAAATTGAAGTCACATAAAAATTTGTTTGATGACAATATAGAAGCATTATTGACATCTATCATTTTCATTTAAAACATTCTCAATATTACGTGGTGCAATCCAAAAGTTCCCGAAATATATTAATAAAAACTATTACATCTTACCTAGATCTTATTCTGCACCATCACCTTCAAAGTAGTCCCCTTGGGAGTGCATACACCGATCCCAGTGTTTCTGCCACTTTTCAAGTGCATCCTGGAAGTCTATCTTTGTTAGGGTGTTTAGTACCGTCTGCGTTTCCACTTGAATGTCCTCAACTGTATCAAATCTTCGCCCCTTCAACTTGATTTTCATCTTGGGGAAGAGAAAGAAGACACATGGAGCTAGGTCTGGTGAGTACGGTGGGTGGTGAACAACTGCCATCTTGTTTTAGCCAAAAATTCCTGCACAATGTAAGCCGTATGCAGTCGTGCATTGTCATGGTGGAGTACCCAGTCATTCGTGTGCCACTTCTCTGGATGTTTTCTCCTCATGTCCTCCCTCAAACGCCTTAGAACATCGCGATAGAACTCTTTATTCACTGTCTGACCAGGAGGGATGAACTCCTTATGAACAATCCTGTCAATATCAAAAAAAACAGATCAACATGGACTTAATGTTGCTCTTGACTTGTCGAGCTTTTTTTGGCTGAGGTGTAGAAGGACTCTTCCATTGCGACGATTGCTGCTTGCTTTCAGGGTCATAGCCATAAACCCAACTTTCGTCACCAGTGACAACCTTCGAAAGAAAGTTTGGATCCTCTTGAAGCTGTTGCTGAAGTTCCCTGCAGACTTCCAAGCAATGCTGCTTTTGTTCATTTTGCAGCAGTCGTGGCACAAACTTCGCCGCAATCGTCCTCATGTTCAGTTCCTCTGACAAAATTCGTTGACATGTTCCATAACTTAGTCCCAAGGTGTTACAGAGGTCTTGGATGGTCAGTCTACGATCTTGCAGAATCAGATCCCTAACTTCCGCGACATTTTCTGGTGTTTTGCACATTGACGGCCGTCCCAAACGATCGTCATCATCAGTCAATGTTCGGCCATTTTTAAAACGCTTATACCAGTTGTAAGTTTGTGTCTGGCCTAAACTGTTTTCACCAAAAGCTTGCTTCAACATTTTGTGCGTTTCTGCAGCGGTTTTCCCAAGTTTGAAACAAAACTTTATACAGACACGCTGCTCTCTCAGGTCAGCCATCACAAAACCGCAAACTCGCGGACACACAACAATGGAAATATGATCACCAACAATAAACCCAAACACTCAACTCGACATCACTTGCCACACTGATTCAAGAAGGATGTGTGAGGAGACACCCAGCGGTATTTCGATGTACTCATAGCCATTCGTGCGCAAAATTCAAATTTTGGTAACTTTTGGATTGCCCCACGTATATATATTAAATAGAATAACCTTATGCCATATGCAATGTAATGTCTGTATTGTTGACTAGCTTTGACAGTAACATAAATTACGGCTCCGCATAATCTAATAGTTGCAGTGTTGATCATTTCTGTTAATGACAGATTTTATCTAAAATAAATTAATATCAAGACCAATGGAGATGCAAAACTAAATATAAACTATAAACATTTAACACAAATTTTGAATGAAAAGTGATGAAATAAATACAATATTTAAAAAAATACTGTATTTTCATAAGCGTTGAATTACTATAGTCTGCAAATGAAATTCAGTGTGATTACAGATGTGTTGGTACAGAAACTTGTGGGTTAAATTGTAGACCTACTAAGCTACAGCATGAACATCTTGGGTTAAATTTTCAAAATACACAGAAAACAACTACTGTTAGTTGTCATAACAAACACATAGCTCTGACATAAAGAAAGACAAGGGCCCTAGTTTACATATCTCATAGGGCAATACTTAAAGATTTCCAGCCTGAGCTGAAACTGGACATCAGCAGTTATGGGCTATGCAGCACTGCAGTTGGTTTTCTTGTCTATTGGAACATAATATCAACCATAGAAATCATTAGTGTCAAATGAAATAAGAGAGTAATTTTGAACAGGTAATGGAAAGGATTTTGGAGAAGTAGTCACCATTTTTTAAGACACTGTACTGATATATGGACTACAGAATTGAAAGAAAATACAAAAAGCTTGAATCAGAGTAGTCAATCTATGGCTGGAATTCAAACAAGAGAGTCCTGAATGCAAGCCTGCACATACATATGCATCATTGTAAAACTGGCTGTGCAAGAAAGAATAGTATCATAAAATATTTTTCACTGAGATAAATAACTATTCTTCCTTTACAATAAAACATGTAAACATACCACAGGACCTATTTCCCCTTTTGGTCCAGGATAGCCAGATTCTCCTGAACTTCCTGGTGGTCCAGGAGGTCCTCTCACTCCATCCGTTCCTGGTTCTCCTTTCTGTCCTTTTGGAAATAGACCAGCATAGGCAGGTTCTCCTTTTTCACCTTTAACACCAAGAGGTCCTGGAAAACCTCTGGGGCCCTGCTCTCCTGGTAAGCCAGGAATACCAGGAGGTCCCTAAAAGCAAATTGATGAACATAAATTATAATTCAACAGGAAATACATCAGAGATGGAATTACACAAAATAGTGTAACGTGTTTCGAGTTCGAATCTCGTTGGTCACATGTGTAAGTCCAAATCCCACTTCTGACACCAGTTGTAACATGTTTCGTTACTGAAGACGCCGTTCGGATTGTTAACTGGTTTATTCAACAACCTACAAGTAACGGCTACAATTAATTATAACAATGTTACGGGTTTCCACACTTTACAAACCCTACAACCAAATCTCTTCGCACTATCTTCAAGAGTCTTCACATATTAATAATGTGGGAGCTATACAAGTCTCCCTGAATTACACACTCCAAATATAACTGTACTACAGCACACACAAAGTCTCGAAAGCACACAATAAGTCTTCCACTCGCTGACTTCTTAGTTATCGCACACTGTCACATAAAATCTTGTAACCACGCATTCGGGTCTTCTTCTCGCGACTGCTGCTATATTTCAACTCTACTTGCAGGCTGCTGCCTTGAGAACTGTTGATAACACACCGGCTCTCGCTTGCTGCTCAGCTGGCTTTTATTCCGTTCGCTGTTACCTGTTGCCCGCGTCAACAGCGTTGTTGCGTGCAACGTCACAGTAGGAACCGGTGCCATGTCGTCGTGTTGCGTCACAGCGCGTTGCGCGTTACATCACCATGGGGAGAGTGGCGGGGCGGTGACTCGCCTATTACCATAATAACGAGAGCACTATGTTACTGCCATGTACCGCTGGGGAGGTGGGTGTCCTCCGTTGCGCAACATGTCACAATAGTATAATTCCACCCAAGTGCCACATTGTGCACAGAAGTAGCAGTGCATACACACACACAAATCATGAAGGCCAAAGTGTGAACTGCCAAGCTTTCACAATGTGAGCTTTGTCTTGAGGGAATCCTTAGCTTAACTAGACTGTTGGTTGTAAAGTTACATAGATAATCATGGACAAAAACTTATATGAGGGTTGGAACTTTAATAGTGGCAACACCGCTGTAGAGATGCCATGCAATGGAACCAAATAATGTCGTTTATACCACACTTTAGTTACATACCTACCTTACCTCAGAACAATGGAATCTCCCTTCCCACATCACGCGCATGCACAGTGATGAGAAGAACAGAGCCTTGTGTTAGCTGGCGGTCTAATGTAGTGTTGTCACGATGTTTTCGAAACAGAAACAATGTAGTTGGATAAAGATTGAATGTGCCAGAGGCCGTACATCACGACAGTGTCATAAAGGTCTTTAAGAAGCTTGCGGGGAATCTGCATTGCCTTACGGAACAGTGGCAAGGTGGGTAAAACCTTCAACGAGGGATGCCAAAATGTGGCAGACATGCATCGGCCAGGTCATCCTAGTGTCAGTGAAGAAGAAGTGTATGCTCTTTCCATGTTACTGTAGAGTGATAGATGCCATATGATTCGTGAGCTGGCCCAAGAGACAGGATTACAGCATACGACTGTGCTTCACATTCTGAAGGAATGCCTGGGCATGAGAAAAATTGCATCATGATGGGTTCTGCATGATCTAATGGAAATGCAGAAATGGCAAGCTGTGGCTGATTTGTTCGATCGATGGGGCTGGCAGTGCTGTACCATCCACCATACTCCCCGGACTTAAGCCCTTGTGACTTCAACTTGATTCCTAAGATGAAGGAACCACTTTGTGGCATTCACTTCAGAACTGTTCCAGAGATATCTCAGGCAGTAGACCGCTCCATTAGAACTATCAACACAACAGGCGCTGCTAAAGGTATCCTACAACTTCCACATTGCTGGCAAAGAGTTATACACAATGCTGGTGACCATATTGAAGGACAGTAAAACTTCGAAACATGCATCCATTCTGTATCAGTCGTAAATAAACAGTTGCCACTATTAAAGTTCCAACCCTCATAGTAAGGCTGGGATACTATAATGGCTGAAGAGTTGTACTAACTTTCAAATTACTGGCAATAATATGTATGTTTAAAATAACTATATTTCTTAATAAGGATAAAGGAATTTGTGACACCTTCTATGAAGCAGAAAAAAGATTGACAATTTTTTAGCAAAACATTAATTCACTTGATGGTACTCCACTTACCAGGGTCAGACTTGCCACAGGAATATACGCTGATCTTCTGCGCTGGTGTGGCACAGAATGTTCATGTTTTCTCACCATGTTTGTGTTATACTTGGGTTCTTTCAATGTTGTCATTCTACAGTTATCCCTTGTCATTAATACGAGTATAGAGCACACAGAATTTTGGATACTTTCATGTTTCTTAGATGAACACATAACTTATACACAATGATGATAAACTCAGTTCCACTTCTTTGCTGCTAAAGAAAAATACTCCTAAAATTTTGCAGGTGAAAACCATAAAAATCTTATTTTATGGTATAATTTAGTTGTCACACTCACCAATTCTTATGTTCTATTATTTCTTATTTTAAATTCGTTTAGTGGGGGGTGGAGTCCAACTGGGTCCACTCGGTACAGCGGCCACTGATTGGACTATTGTAGCCTGCCCCCGGTGATTATGATGATGGAGAATTTGGTGGAATGAACACTGGCATGGGAAACCGAAGTACTCGGAGAAAACCCACACCTGCGCCACTTTGTCCACCACAAATCCCATTTGACCAGACCCGGGATTGAACCCAGACCGCTGCGGTGGAAAGCCAGTGACTAACCGCTTGAGCTATGGCGCAGCCATGTTCTACTATTTACTTGTACATATGTATCATCCGCAGTGTATGCTTTGTACTTACATCAGTTCCATTGCAGCCATCCAAGCCAGGAAGGCCTGAAGGGCCTGGAGGGCCTTGTACACCAGGTATGCCATTTATGCCAGGGAAACCAGGCATTCCCATTTTACCCTGAAACAGCCATAATTAATATATGAAATAAAACTACCCTATATTGTATAAAATGAAATCCCTTAATAGGTCTATACCAGGAAAAAAAAGATGGTTTAGAAATCAACCGTAATCTACTATTACAAAATGACTGACATAGCTATGAAAGATACTGGATGACATTCTGCCTCATTTCACCCCACTTTAATACAGGTTACATTATATATCAATGTTTCCCAAAGTCCTTTCCATGCAAACCTTTTTGGACATGAAAACTATTAAAGAATCCCCCCCCACAATGTGAATATAAAGAGGACATAAGACAGAAAAACCAGTTGACAATACAATGAATGTGTCTCTTTCTCTCTTTTCTCACCTTCCTTCCATCATCTCCTCCTGTCTCCCTTCTCCCTTTCTTCATAAAACTAATTGCTAGTTAGTTAGTTAGTTAGTTAGTTAGTTAGTTAGTTATTAGAGAGGGTGGGTTTCCCCATGCACTTAGACCTGTAGTGGTCCATTGTGCTTCTCTCTATGATATTCTACCAGTCTCTATATCCTACCGGTATTGGTGCTTACCATCAGTCCCACCCAGCCAGCGAGACCGGCTCTACTGGCTGAGAGGTATCTATAATGCCTCCCCCATCTACCAGAGGTATTAGTGACTGCTGTTGGGCGGGAAATGTCCGCAATTTTGCTCGGTGACCTCCTTTGGAGGTATGAGGTTCTTTTACGTGCGGTAAAGCTACGACACAGGACCCACGGCTTAAAGTCCCTCCCGGAGGACTTGTTCCCTGAATTTTTCCGCCCTTAAAAATTCGACGACCTCCGCCAGGTATTTGAACCCGCGTACTACGAGTCATGAGGTGGGAACGTTACCTCTAGACTACGGAGGCTGCTAAAAAACTAATTGCTAACTTATCAACTTTAGCCCAACCACATGACCTCATCATCTTTTGTGGTATTTACATATAATGAAAGAGTACTCAAGGACAAACCAATTTCTTATATATACTAATTCTGAAACTTAATTTCCTATAGACTTCAGACAGTAATATGATTTATTGAAACCTCTGTTTAGGGTTCTAGGAATACAGCCTTGGAATCACTGGCCTAAATCATCTCTACAAAATTATTCCCAACAAGAGTTATAATTTTTGTGCATGACTTACTTCTACCCATATACATATACAAAATTCAGAGAGTTATAATTGGGTATTTGTAAACTGATCATCCATTTTTTCTGCCATAACTAAAAATGTTTAAAGAGAATAGTTCCACAACTCTATGGACACCCATTCTCTTTTCACATGACAGCTTAAAATTCCCATGAGTATGAGGGGTGAGCCATAAGACTGGCCCTAGCACTGCGACCTTCAATGGTCTATTGTGCTTTAAAATTCCCATAAGATAACCACATGTTCTTTACATATCAATATAGATTTTCAAGACCTCTTCAACACAGCAGACAATTCTGTCATGTTACTTTTAACTACAAACTTCACAGAACTTTTAAAAAGTCTAATATGGTAAAGAAAATTTTGGAATTAAAAGATTTCTAGACTTTTTACTCTTAAAATGCATATAATAAAATAAAAATTTATTTCTAACAGGTTATGTTATAAAGTTACAAGATGACATAAACAGCATAACATTTATAACTGCAAGGAAGTTCATACTGAAAATTTATTTTGTATTTTAGAGCTTAGTTTTGCAAGAGTGAAACATAAAGTAAAGTAAAAGTAAAGGTATCCCTGTAATGAGACGTGGAGACCCATAGGGTTGTGAGACGTTGAGATTCCCACATTTTCTAGATCATCAGCTCATAGATGGCAGTAAGGCTGTCAGCCCTACATGCCGGCAGCCCTTTACCCCCAAGAACATTCCAAGAATATTCCTGGTACTCTTTTCTGTTAGAGGCTGAGTCAACCCTAGGGCCATAGTGCAGCTGGAAGGATTAGGTAAATTGAAAAAAATACAATGACCTCATCGGGATTCAATCCTGCAACCTTCTGGCTTGTAGCACGTGAAACATACAAACAAATATTGCTATATTTCTTAAGCTCTCTTCAAACTTCATCCTACACACTTTACTCTGCGTCTTTACAAGTAAATGGAACACATGGCTGTTTCTGGGTGGAAAGCTCTAAGGTTCATGACACTGCCATTTCTTACCCGGTCTCCTTTGGGTCCTCTTGGCCCCTGTGGGCCTGGATCTCCTTTGTCTCCCTTTGGTCCTGGAAGACCTTCCATTCCAGGAAATCCTTGCTGTCCTTTTGGTCCTATCTGACCTGGAGGTCCAGGTGGTCCCTATAAATATAAACAAAGATTAGGAAATTCGTGTTTGGAAAGTTTATTTAATCAGTGCTGACTCATACAAAAAACCTTTGTCCTTTCTTCCTCCACATGTTACTCTGTTAGGCATTGCTTGACATACAGCTACTGAACATGCTGAACCCAGTGGTAATACATTTGATTTGTTTTTTCATAGTACCTGGTTTGATTCTTGGATAGGACATTGGCTATCTGGAGTTCTCACAATTTTCCTGATATCTTTCACGATATTCCTTACTTGGGCCTTACCTCCACAGCCCTTTCTCATTCAAGAAACATAATTATCCTTTCATCTCATCTGATGCCTTGTAGTTTGTATGTTATTATGAACTCCTGCAGCCCTTTCTGATATATGTTCTTTCGATTGCTTGCACCGGTTCTGTGGTAACTGAAGAATGCAAGATGTAAATGTTGATATTTTCTTTACTATTTTGAATTGAATTGATAAGTGGTGATTTTCTTTACTTCTTCCTTTTATCTGGGGAGGGCATCTTATCAGAGCTGGTTTCATCAAGAAGTTCTTTTATATTTCTTCTGTAAGAGTGCATAAAATCTGTTTATGGTGAAACATAACTCTTTCAGTCATTGCTCTTGGGAAATATTATTGCTTTCACTGCAGTATATGAACAGAACTGGACTACCTTTCATAGCTACTCAGTTTCTACCTTCAATGATGGCAGATCTTCCATCTGTAAGATATATTTACTCTCTGCTACTGAAAACTTTTATTCATGCAAATGCAAAACCTGTTGTTATGTCAGTGAAAACAGCTTTCTGCAGTGTATGCATGCAGTGATGATTATCACGTTTATTCTTAGCACTGCAGAGTTTTCTAGTGTTTGCTGATGCTATATATGCTGATGGACTGAACCTGAGAAGCAGGCATGAAATAACAGATGCCCTGTCCACAAGACTGCTGAATGGCAGCTACAAAGGAAATTCTTTGTGGGGTTATGTAATAGACTTTTCATATATAGTTGCTAAGCAGAAGTTATGAATGAAATGGTCTATAAAATTTAGTGCTTTGTTCTGTTCACAACATGAAGTCACTTTGCAAATATTTATTTATTCATAAAATTTATATTAAGATACTCATAATGCAGAGAATCAGAATTTATCTATCTTCATACCAAGAGTCCCACTGGTATTTTTCCATGTCCACTTCATTCTGTATTTCTTAGGTTTGTATAATTACAGAAATGGTTATTAATCTTTTACCATACCACATCACCCTTGTAACATGTATACTGTATATTACTAATCTAAGAAGGTCTTAATTAAATTAAGCAATTATAAATTAACCTTAAAATTACTCTCTTTTTTTTTATTCTGACCACTGTCCATTATTTTAAAAACTAGAGAACGCAATCCTCAGGTGAGGGGGGGGGGACTCATGAACAGGAGACTGGATCCAAATGACAGCATGTAGCACACAACAATGCTTGCAATTCAGAATTTTGACTTGCCATGTTAGGTTACAGCATTCTTCTGTTGGCAAGATGATTATATTGTTTTGTTGGTAAGATGAAAGTATATTAGGTTCACAACAGCCAAAGGTATTCTATTTGAGGCAAGCTCGTCAATTTTTTATATGAAGCTTGGTATGGAAACTTCACTTTGTTGTGTTTCAAGGTGTTTTTTCTTTCCAAGCCCACATTTCTTATTGAAATGCCGATATCAGTTTTGCTGTTATTTTATGAAATCTTAATCAAGAACTTTTCAACAAATTTCTACCAATATATCTTAAAAGTGGTTTAATTTACATTACTAAAGCTACTATTTTCATTTTTCAAACCTATTGTATTGCTGCAGTACTTCAGTGTTTCCACAAGTTCAACTGTAAAACTGTCATGTCATAATATAAGCTGATTTTAAAAAGATTAACCCCTTGCTCCTCATAATGTAGTTAAACTAAAAGGGTACATGTGTGAGACTTTGTGTCTCACCCTACAGAAAGAACTTAGATTGAAGGAAACTGAGAACAGTATACTAAAGAGAATATCCGTAGTATTTAGAGTACATGTTGCTAAGTGAGGTTAGTTCTTCCTTGGATCTGCTCAGATCACATTAGATTAACCTTTACTGTTCATGGTGTATTAATGTGATGACACATACATGGGTCCAACAAGGCTAGTATCACATTGCTTTTAACACAAATACTATTACTCCCAAGTTAATAATCTGGCTGCCAGCGATGTCAGAGTGAGATATTTAATTCTGCTGTTCCCAGACAATGAAGCTTAATACTGACTTACCCTTGATCCTTTTTCTGCAAAACATTTTGGTATGCAACAGGCAGAACCAATACAACCTGCTGGTGGTGTCCTACTGCCTATGACAGGATATGTGTTGTAACTGCTGCCCGGTGCATCATAGCTGCTACTGCTACCTGAATGGTAGCCACTGCTGGAATCTACTCTGCCATATAAACCTGTCAAGTTGGATGATGCAGACTGGAATTGCTGTAACAAATAACAAACACTTATCATACAGCATACACGTGAACACTCAATCCCTCAATATGGTGTTATTCTGACAATGCAACTATGGAAGTTTGTGAGCAGCAGCTCCACACATTGACTGCATGGTAACAACTTTTAAAGAAATACATGTTAACTTGGTAAAAACTTGTAAACAGGATGCATGACAGACTACCAAAATTACCATATTTCTATAATTCCACATGACAAGGAAATTTGGAAAGAACTGCAAGTATATGGCAAGATTAGTTTTTAAAGTAGTGAATGTCAGAATGGGCTCTAACACCCAGTTCTTGAGGCTGAAGGAGGACAGGCAGCCAAAGGAGATGGGGGAGGAGTTTGACATAAATAATTTTTATGTTGCATATAATGCAAAGCTGGCTTTCAAACAGATATCTACAGTGAATGTTATGGCCAGAGTCTCTCATCATCATACATAATTAATTAAGCCCTCATTAATTCATTCTGCACATGTAACATATACTGTGACTGGATAGCAACAAAACATGAACTTTCCATTACTCTTTTATTCAAATTACAACTTCTTCAAAATTTGTTAATGATGTAACTTAGCATTTCATCATTTCATTTTATAGTCACAACGTGTGTGACCTACTAATTCATTCACGGAACATATTTCAGATGATATATGTATAGTTCATTGCAGTAAGGTAAGGGTGGTCCACCAAGTCCAAATTCCAGTTATTGTACATCTTGTTTAAAATCTGATTTGTTATATTAAAAATTTTTACAAAATTTATTGTTTTTCATGTTTCATACAAAAAACATTAATATGAAATAAGTAAAAGACCTGATAGGTGAACAAAGTAACATTCTATTCAGAATATCAAATCATTTACATTCCTATACGTGCAACATACTTGCATATTGTAAAATTATATAATTAATGCATCAAAAAGATATTGCTTAAGCGGTATATTGGTGCGCAAGGAACAGGACCACATCTTTACAACCTGTCCCACTTCACTGTCAACCTCAGCTTCATACAGAGCACCAGATTTTCGCATTAAGGATCTGGAAACCAAGGCATGACAGTAAACGCTTACAGAATGTGTGGCATGAAAAAATATCATAACTATCAATAGCTCATTAATGTATGACAGAAATTCCACTAAAATATAAGGTTAGGTTAGTTTTTATTTGGGTTGCTGTTTAGGTATGTTGGCACCTGAAATGACCACTGCATCTCAATTGATCCCAGACTCACTAACCAATAAACCAAACAACCAGTACCGTAAATTGTGATATTTGAGGTTCCCATGGCAGTGAATACGAAGATTACTGTGTTATAAAACATGATGCAATGTACTCGTAGTATAACAGACTACAGTGCATCATATCCCAGAAGACAACAACCTTCAATAGCATAAATTATGGTATATTATAAGATAGTTACAATGCACACAAAAGAGTCTTAGTGTTTAATGTAAATGTAAAATAGTTCTAAAATAAATCTGAAAAGGAAATACAAAGATTCTTTACATGTGTCTACACCGGGGGAGTCAGTAAATATGTCACAAATGGATATAAAACGTCAAACATGGGACATTCAAATCCGGAAAAGCATTTATTTCTTGACATATCCTCCACCAACACTGATATACTTATCCCCTTGCTTTACCAGTGCGTCAAAACCTGCAGCATATAAGTCTTTTGACTGTTGCGTCAGCCACTTCCGCACCTCCGTTTCCACCTCTTCGTCATCAGCTAAATGTTTGCCATGTTTCTCAATCCAACTGTGAACCACTTTATGCAGCAAATACTTCCCACCATAAACAGGAAACATTTCTTTATAAATATCATTTGCACTGAGTCCTTTTGCTCACAAAAGAACGCACAACAGAACGCTGCTTTCAGCAGTACAATCGCACGGTAGCCATTTTGACTACTGAAACCAGCTTCTGAACACAGGAATGCGTGTATGATACCTAGACTGTCATAAAGTTGAACTGTGCTGCTACCCAGAGATACACATAGAAAACCTATTACTTCCATTACAGCTGCTTTTCTTCCACTTGTGACATATTTACTGACTCTCTCATACTTTCCAGGATGCTTTATCTAAAGCTGAGGGTGAAATTTAAGTTATGAGCTTCCCCATAGCATGAAGTATAAGCAGAATGTAGAAAAATTCAAACTTATGAAAAGTAAAACATCTAGGATTAAAGAACATAAGGTACAGTATACTAACTTAATGTAACTAAATCAGCTACATAATACATAGTAATCCCCCATACATAAAAATAAAAAATTGCTCTGGTAACTTTCGTGCAAGATTAATGTCCTTGTGTAGTGGAATGATAGGTCAGATCAATGGATGAAAGTAGAGTAGGGCACTTTAATCTTCGCAAAATATAGCATGTAATCAGTCTGTATTTTATTTGTGAAGTATGTGAATGTCCTAAAGTCAATTAACTCATTACCGCAGAATCAGATCGCACGTAGCAGGAATGATAAATAAAAATCTGCCAGTCTCAAGCCGGTATTTAGGGAGAGGGGCATTTGAATTTGAATTTATTTACGTTCCATAAATCCAAGTACAGGTTGAGACCAAAGGATATGGAACAAGTCAAGTACAAATACGTAATATCTGTACAATAATAGTTTTGCTTGAAAAGGTGATATTTATAATACAGTATTAATATTACCATGCTAATTGGATACATAAACCAAGTCTGCAAACAAAGTGATACAGTAACATGCTTGGGAATACACTTTAGCTTAGAATTGATACTAGTTACTGTGTGTTTACACTGAAATATTCATCTATAGAATAGAAGGAGTGAGTAAGTAAGCAACGTTTCAATACTGTTTTAAATCGCTAAATATTGCTAGTAACAAAGGTATATAAGAACCTATTAAAGTTTTGAGAAAATGAATATAGTTTGATGGATGGATTTTAAAATCACTATGGTGTCCAGAAATATATGCTGACACAATTAAATAAATATCGCTAGACATCACTAGTTGATGCAGCATCGAAATGTACAATGTAAACAACTACACAAGGAAGGATATTGCATACGCTAGCAGAAACGCCAGAAAAAATGTGCAAAAACTGAATTTTAATGTTAACAAATACTCTTTGATTTTCGCTGGACTTTAATATTTCCGCCATTACACGGTGGCAGGTCACTGAATAAAGTACTGGAATAGACATATGTACGGAGTGGGTGAGACGGGTGAAGCTATGTCATTGACATTAGCCGCTACTGGAGCGAACATGTGTTTCAGTGGTTCCTTCTTAACCACAACCAACCAAATATAGGATGCAGAAGGGAGCTGTGGAGTAAAATTATCTGAAGTAAACAGCAGTAAAGTTGTGAAAGGAATGGCTCAGTATGTCAGAAGAGTTGAGCACGTGGCAAGTTCTCGTTCTCTCTCTTATAGCTAGGAAATTTGCTTGGTGTTGCAAGAGTGACGTAACCATTTACCTTATAAGACAAAGTTTAATGCAACCATTTCTTGAGCCATCCTAAAAGCCTAATTTTTCAATAATGTGTTGTAATTATTATAGAAACACAGATTTCGACAGCATACTTGTAATTTCTAATTTTTAAGATGTTTTGAAGAATCAATGGTGATTTTTAATCATTGGATCTTTCTTTCTCTAATTAAATTAGTTAGAAAACTCATGTGAAACAATCATTTCAGGCAGAAGGGATAAATCTGATCTCGGAATGACCCCGCCCTCTAAATTCGGTTCCGATATGTGCCTGATTAGGCACTAGATATAGGGTTTTGCATTCGAGACGTTTCGGGGGGGTTGTGGAAGTAAATGACGCTAGGGGAGCATTTGAAAATAGGAGAGGACTGGGAGCGAAGCACGTGAGGCCAATTTCATTTGCTATATAACATTTCAACTGGACATACGAAAAAAGACAGCGGAAAATATGAAACATTTCAGTCAGTTTTAGAATTTGGAATTCCGACTAAATGCGCTTAAACCAATTAGTTGATTTTTGATGAATCAGTGCCGTAGGCCCATACTGCACATTAAACTTCCCTTTTCTGAAATGCATGGGATAAATAGGGTAAACTGTAATAATAATGAATAGGAAATCTTAGACATGCTACTGAGTTACTCAGTAACAAATCACGTGACAAACAGAATCTGATTTTGTATCCGTAAATAACGACAGCGAAGATTAATTTGAAATTAATGTTTGTTCTTTACTTTCCAAATATGAAACCCAATATAAAGGAGCACCTCATTCTCTCATCATTCTACTGTTTTCACTGCTATCACTTTACATTTCCTCTGTATGCAGGCTTCACGTTTGTTCTTATAGAATAAGAAATTTGCATCTCAAATATCAAGAAAATGCTTCTCTTTCCGTTCAGCTCGAAATGTTATAGCCCCGAAGAAGTGTTTAACATGGCAGTGTATCTACAACTTCATTCTAGGCCTCAAAATTCCATTAACAAATCAACTAGANAGAAATTTGCATCTCAAATATCAAGAAAATGCTTCTCTTTCCGTTCTAGGCCTCAAAATTCCATTAACAAATCAACTAGGTAGGCCTGTGCTATGAAAATGGACGTGTATCTCTTCAAGATCATATCCCTAATTGCAAATAAACTGTCGGTGAGATGGCTTCGTGCGGAAAGTTTAAACTCGTAAACCCCTTCTAAAATGGCCCTAGGCAGATATGTAATTTCATATAGAAATCGACCGTCAAAAGTTAATGTTCACCTTCAAAACAAACAAACTCCGTGGTTTTAGTCCGCAAGCGAACTATACCGATCGAGCGACCGCCACTTGTCGGCGAAGTTAGTGCCAACTTTATCGGATAGAGGATGTCGCGTAGTCAGCGCAACGAATACCCACGGCCGTTAATTTCGGTTTTCTAGATCGGAGCCGCTATTTCCTTGAAATAGCTCCTCAATTATCCTCACGAGGCCGAGTGGACCCCGTTCCAGACCCACTACTTCTCAGAAAATCTGGTTGAGCCTGGAAT